ACATAAAAGAATATGAAGTCATAAAATATATAATTCTTATAACTATGGAGAGATAAGAAAAAAATGTATGACATAATACTAAGTAAATTTTAAAAAGCAGAAATTCAACATGGTACACTCCATGATTACAACTGAAAACAGTTATTAGGCATGCATATGACAAGTGGGAAGTATTATGCTAAGAAAATAAATAAATAAAGCTATAATGAAGTAATGAGAATATAGGAGATAGATTATTTATTTATTTATTTATTATGCCAAGAAAATAAATCAAGCTATAATGAAGTAATGAGAATATGGGAGATAGATTATTTATTTATTCATTGATTCATACACACATACACACATACATAGTCTCATTCTGTCACCCTGGGTAGAGTGCTGTGGCATCATAAGCCTAGCTCACAGCAATCTCAAACTCCTGGGCTCAAGTAATCCTCCTGCCTCAGCTTCCCAAGTAGCTAGGACCACAGGTGCGCCCCACCGCGCTCAGCTAATTTTTTCTGTTTTTAGTAGAGAAAGGGTCTCACTCTTGCTGAGGCTGAACTCCTGAGCTCAAACGATCCTCCCGCCTCGGCCTCCCAAAGTGCTAGGATTACAGGCATGAGCCACTGCGCCCAGCCTAAATCTTAAGGTCATTATAGTCTTTCACTATCGATGCCTTAGGACAAAATCGGAAAGGAAATGTATGGAGAAAGAGTGCTTTTAAAACAGTGAAACTCAAGATATTTTTAAACTTTGTAATTGCCATTATGATGCTGCTTATGTAACAAAAACAAATTTCATTTAAATAAATATAAATCAGACTACTCAGAGCACCCTGCCTTTTTGTGCATACCCGGGAGCTTTTTTCCAGGAAGCCATCTATCTTATTTTCTACAAATCCAAGACAGTAGCCACAACCACTCTTGCACTGAAGTGATCCATTAGGGTAAGCTAAGACTCTATGATCAGATGTCTCACTGGCACCAGGTTATGGTCAGAAGCTTTCAAGTAATCAATGAAACCCTCAGGTAGCTTTGAGCTCACTTCTCCAGGTTACCATCAGGAACCTCAGCATAGCAATGTACTCTCTCTCTACAAATTGCTAGCAACATTTTTAGATTCACTCTCTACCAACTCTCACACATTACTCAAACATTGCTCCCATTTACCTGGCAACCCTCCCCCTTCTTTCCATCCCAACCACTCTCTTTATCTCCCCACCCCAGCCCCACTTACAAAAAAAATACTGATTTTGTCAGAAATTTTCTTGGAATAATTCTCTTCTAATATATCCAGTATTTTAAAAATTTAGCTATTAATAAATACTAATTATAGAAAATAACCTCTTCAATGTACAAGCAGCTCTGGTTGAAGAAGAACAAAGCAAAACTGAACATAAGCCTTTTCTGAAATTACCAACTAAAATAGGGAAAAGAAAAATAACTCTAGGCCATGCGTGGTGGCTCATGCCTGTAATCCTAGCACTCTGGGAGGCCAAAGCAGGAGGATCGCCTGAGCTCAGGAGTTTGAGACCAGCCTGAGCAAGAGCGAGACCCCGTTTCCACTAAAAATAGAAAAATTAGCCAGGCATGCTGGCACGCGCCTATAATCCCAGCTACTCGGTAGACTAAGGCAGGAGAATTTCTTGAGCCCAGGAGTTTGAGGTTGCTGTGAGCTAGGCTGAACAGAATGAGACTTTGTCTCAAAAAATATATATAACTCTAGTTTCTATATATAATTTTATTTCTAAGTTTTTTCTTCAGGGACATGGGTATAAAATCTTACAGCTTATGAATACTATTTTGAGATAATTTTTTTCACATCTTTGCTTATCTAAATTCCACCTACTCTTCAAGGCTCCACTGCAAGTTTTACCTTCCTCCCATCCAAGTACTAACCAGGCCCAACCCTGCTTAGCTTCTGAGATGAGATGAGTTAGGCACATTCAGGGTGGTATGGCTGTAGTCGACAAGTTTTACCTTCTCTACGAAGTCTTAATAATGGCTAAAATTTATTAAGCATTCACTATACAGTAGGCATGTTAGGGTCTATACGTCTAGCATGTATTAACTCATTTAATCTTCACAACATGACTATGAGGTAAATATTATTATTTTCCCCAATTTACAGACAACAAAACAGGCACTGAGAGATTCTAAGTAATTTTTCCTAGGTTACACCACCAGTAAGAGGCAGAACCAGCATTTGAGCTTAGGCAATCTGGTTCCAGAGCCTGTGCTCTTAATCACTGTTATACGACCTCTCTTCCTGCAGCTCACCTGATCTCTTCCTTCTACTGTACTTGTTACATACTCCCCACAATAAGTTTATTAAACTCTGTACACTCTTCCTTGTTATTTGTTTCATATGTGCTTGTATTTGCTCCCCAACTAAATTAAAAGTTCCTTGCAGGCAATGAAACACTCAGTATATACTTGTTAGCTAATTTTTTTAAATCCCTGGCAACTTCTATAACATTATAAAGACAGGTTTTTTTCCAATTTTAAAATGCACAATATCAGTTAAAAAAAGAGAAAATTTAAATATTGAGGCATGATGACGAGGGAATTTTACAAAGGGAAAAACAGTGTAATCATGCCATTGCTATAAACCCTGTCACTACTAAAGAATACGAAGTCACAGGCTATGACTCAGCAAAATTACTTAACACCTGAAGGACAGCTCATGATGCCATCAGTATCAGATTTAGCATCACTAAAGTGAGGAAACTGACTGTATATATTTATTTTTCTTCTTTCTCAATATGCATCTCCTCCTGGTGAGTCATACCTATAAAAGTGACGGACCACTTTATTTCCATTACCTAAAAGAGAACTAACACTTTAGGAAAATAAAATGAAGTTTCTTCTGCATATGCATCATCAGTAAGTGACAATCTGTGTTATGAGGAATAGCACTTACAAGGGGAAAAAATACTGAAATCATAAAGGCTTCCAGGCCTAGCAAGCAGAATAAATTTTAAATAGGGTTTTTCAATCCATCAAAATAAGAAAATAAAAAACAGGAGTTCAAAGACATGATCTGTCTCTAATCGACCCATCTACCAAGGTAGTTCAGAGTAAACTAAAAAACTTAATACTGGATATTAGAAGTACCATAGATCATAAACAAAAGAAAATATCCTTTATAAAACAGGACTATTACCCAAAAGAAAATATCCTTTATAAAACAGGACTATTACCCAAGCATTTATCAAGTTTCTTGACTATAAATCTAACAACATCAAAATCTGGAGGGCCACAGGTCTTAAGATAATTTTCAGAAAATAAAGGAGAGAAGCTTAGGGTTTTATGGGCTTCTTATCGAACATCACTTTTCAAATACACTGCTAATACAGTTTCGATTTACATATGAAATAAATAGCAAAATATTTTGCTAGCTCTCTAGGCACTTCAGCTATCTCTCGAAAAGGCTAAATGTGATTCTAAATCACAAAGAAATTCTGATTATGGAGCCAAGCAAGTTGTGTGGCAATAAACGGTACACACACAGAAGAAAAGGCAAAAAAGTCAGTGTTTTCTGTAGGCTAAGCTGGTTTGTACCCTCTGGGTTATGGTCTCTAAATGATTAAAAACAAATAGTGTTAATGCTGCTGAACTGCACACTTAAAAATGGTTAAACTGTTTTTTTAAAAAGACAACTAAAATGAAAATTTTAGGTAAGTAGATAAAGTGAAAAAAGAAAATTACTCTGAATTTAATATAAAATGGTATTCAAGAATGAAGATTAAATGCCCTATTTTCAAACCATAGTTAATATTTTTGTTTTTCCCAAAAAATAGGGATGCCACATCACACAAAGTAGAAACTAATTATAGGTTCCATCTTGGGATCTGAAAAGTAAGCAAATATCTTATTTTTAATCTACACCAAAATACTATGTTAACTAGAGCTAAACTCTAGAAACCAGTATCTCTGTGCAAGGTGAAGACTATACCTCATTTTGACTTCAGTAACAAATCATCCTGGCCTGCTCTTTATCTGGTTGTCATGCCACTAAAGCAGAGTCTGCAACACTGTTATTCCAAAAACAGCACAGGCTTTCTATTCTCACATCACATACATAGTAACAAAGCAGAAAACAGAATTAAAAACACTCCCAGGTTTTAAAAAAGCACTGCTTGAGGCTGTTACTTTCTTCCTAATCAAGGGTTTATTATCAACAGTAACATGCCCAAGCCCCAGCTACTGAAAATACAAATCTTTTCCAAGGGCTACTCTAGCCCACATTTTTCTCATACAATTCAGTTAAACTCTAATGTTTTGCTGCAGTAGGAAGTGAATACATGTCATGATTTTAACATCCACCCACTTCCTAAAGAATCCCTACAGGAAAACTTACCTCTGCAAAATGTGTTGTGCTATTATCTATCCGGCTGCCGCCACCACCTAAAAAACTAAAGAGAAAAAGGAATGAGTGGTGATTCTATTCCCAGGAACAAGCTTCCCTCTCAGAAGCTAAATATAGAATGGCATAATGAGAACAAAGCTCAATAAGGAAAAATAACTCATCCCAACACGACACCTATAAAGGAAATTTATGAAGAACTGGTATGTAGATTAATCTATGAAAACTAACATAAGCCACAAAAACTCAAGTGATTTTCGAGTGAATCAAGGCTAAATCAAGTGAGAAATTGGGGAGAGAGGCCACCATACAGAAGGACCCACAGCAAGCAATGCAATTCAAATTTGACGTAGCAAAGAAGAAAAACAGGCCCCGCAGCGGTGGCTCACGCCTGTAATCCTAGCACTCTGGGAGGCCAAGGTGGGTGGATTGTTTGAGCTCAGGAGTTCGAAACCAGCCTGAGCAAGAGCGAGACCCCTCCTCTACCAAAATTAGAAAGAATTTAATCAGACAACTAAAAATATATAGAAAAAAAAAAATTAGCCGGGCATGGTGGCGCATGCCTGTAGTCCCAGCTATTCGGGAGGCTGAGGCAGCAGGATCACTTGAGCCCAGGAGTTTGAGGTTGCTGTGAGCTAGGCTGACGCCACGGCACT